GCAGCCTTGACCTTTTGGACTCCAGTAATCCTCCCACTTCAGCCTCTTGAGTAGCTGGGAGTACAGGTGCATGAAACTGCCTGGCTAATTTTTTTATTTTTTGTAGAGGTAGGGTTTCACTATGTTGCCCAGGCTGGTCTCCAGCTCCTCGGTGAAAGTGATCCTTCCACTTTGGCCTCCCAAAGGGCTGGGATTACAAGTGTGAGCCTCCATGCCTGGTGTTTTCTTCAGCACAACATTAATATTTATGCAGAATATGATAAATAAAGAATATAAATACATTCATTCCATTCAAGTAAAGGTTTAGATAAACTAAATTACACCCAACTTAAATTGGTTTTAGCTACTCAGGCTTTTAGTATTGCATAATTGAGAATGAGATTTCTAACCCTGTATTGCAGAAAATTAAAAAATTAGCTATGCGTTGTCTTGCATGGTAGCAATGAATGATCCATGGTTATTTGTATTTAAATTTAAAGTAATTATAAGTAAATAAAATTTTAAATTCTCTTCATTAGTTGCATTCATTGCACTTCAGGTGCTCAATAGGTACCTATAATGATTGCCATTCTAACTGGAGTTAGATGGTATCTCAATGTGATTTTGATTGGCATTTCTCTAATGACCAGTGATGATGTGCATTTTTTTAATTTAAATTTATTTTATTGCATTTTAGGTTTTGGGGAACATGTGAAGAACATACAAGATTGTTGCATAGGTACTCACGTGGCAGTGTGATTTGCTGCCTTCCTCCCCATCACCTATATCTGGCATTTCTCCCCAATCTATCTCTCCCCAACTCCCCACCCACCACTGACCCTCCCTTATTTCCCCCCAACAGACCCAAGTGTGTAGTGCTCCCCTCCCTGTGTCCATGTGTTCTCATTGTTCAACACCCAACTATGAGTAAGAACATGCAGTGCTTGATCTTCCGCTCTTGTGTCATTTTGCTGAGAATGATGCTTTCCAGGTTCATCCATGTCCCTACAAAGGACACAAACTAATCGTTTTTGATGGCTGCATAATATTCCATGGTGTATATGTGCCACATTTTCCCTATCCAGTCTATCATC